AGACCATGTTGAAGCCTAGCAGAACCAACCATTCTCTTCTGCTCCAGATCCTGTATAAGACACATGGTAGAAGTAAAAGATAAGCTTAGGGAAGTGGTGGATATGAGTCTGCTCACAGACAGGAGGTTGAAGGTGAATTGGGGAACAAACAGTGCATTTTGGAGGGTCAAATCAGCAGTGCAAATGGCTGTGCCAGAATGAGTGGCTTGTATCTGAGCTCTAGTGGGAAGGGTTATGAAAACATTTGATAATGACTTAGGGTCTGTTAAGTACTCTAGAGAGCAGACAATATGGTCTGAAGCCCCAGTGTCTACAATCCAAGTTGGTTGTATGGAAGAGAAGACATTCATGATAGGAACTGATAGAGAGGGGGTTGGAAGGATACCTTTGTGAGTGACAAAGGCAGCAGCAGAGAAAGAAGGCCGAGTCTTCTGGCTATTCATCAAACTCATGAGTTTGTCATAGTCTGCTCTGGTGAGCTTGACCTCATCAGAGGGAGGAGTGAGGCTGACTGCATGAGTTGTGGGTCTACCTCGACCAGTTCCTGAAGTTGGATATCTAGGAACAAAGTTTGGGGGGATATCCATACTTTTGGAAGCACTTGTCTTCAGTATGACCTCTTCTCGTGCAGTAAGAACAAGTGGTGTTGGAAGTAGAAGGGGTGGAAGGTCTAGCCATCCCTGGTGGCCAACCATGTTTTTGGAAACAAATGTCCTCTGTATGTCCTTCTCTTCGACAGAATGTGCAGTATGGGGGTTTGACATTAGGGTTAGTTCTCCTGTTTCCTCCTTGAAAGGCAAAAGCTGTGTTGTTTGTTTGAACTGATGCCACCATTTTGTAAGACTGAGTGCCATAGATTTGCCTTTCATGTTGCAGCATTCGTTGAAATACTCTGTTGATGTTTGGAAGTTCATCTCCAAACAGGACTTGAGCTCTAACGCCAGAGAAATTCTCATTGAGGCCACGAAGGAACTTTATAACATAACTGGTTTCATGGTATTGAAGAACTCTAGCCATGGCATCACAGTCAAGATGGCTGTTGGGAGTGCAAGTACATGGCAGGATAGGCTGATAATTCTCTAATTCATCCTTGAGAGTAATTAGTTTTCCATAATACTCAGTAACAGTTTGGTTACCTTGATGTAAAGAGGAGAGAGCTTCTTCAATCTCTGCAATGCAAATGAGATCACCAGATCCATAGCGAGTTTGTAAGCTGGTCCATGCTTCTGAAGCTATTTTGCAGGAAAGAATGGTCTTCCGGATTTCTGAGGATGTGGACTGCTGGATCCAGCTTAAAATCATAACATTGTTGCGTGTCCAAGCCCCATATCTTGGATCAGTAGCTGCTGGCTCAGGTATGGTGCCATTGATGAAACCAAGTTTGTTCTTGGCTGCAAGAGCATTGAACATTGCTCTGCTCCAATAATTGTAATTAGTTGTTGTAAGTTTTTCAGCAACAAGAAGGGATCCAGGTTGCTCTGAACCATGGAGAAAGAAAGGGTCAGAAGAAGAATCTACAACGTTTGGAAGAGGTGGTGGATCTTGGGCTGGCTGTTGTTGTTCAGCCTCATTGTCAGCCATTGTTGAAGGAAAGGAAGAAGAGTGGCGGCTAGGGCTTTATCCCAGGCTGTGATACCATAACAAAGGAACAAGACTGAAGTGGGGAAAACCTAACACTTGAGTTTCTCATTAGCCATTCTGCCTCTTTATATGCAGAACAAAGAGGAAGAAGACAATCTCGGTTACACTTTGTCTGAAAGCTTGGAATGGAAACAATACAATTCTTGGCAGAAAAGTAAACTAAGACAACAAACAAGGTAAAAACGACTGTGTCTTGAGACTCTCTTCACTTTGTGAAACGGCAGCGCAGAGAAGCGAAGAGGACCATTGTAGAAGGATCAAAACGTCGTCACTTTGGAGTCGACCGTTTGAAAATGGATTTCAATCTGTTACTTGCCACCACATAGGGCTTCATCGATTGACTCCTGCTACTCGATGGTGATCGTCGTCAGTTCGCAGGTCACTCCCGCCTTCCTCTTCAACTTCCATCGACGGCTTCCCCAAATCGAACAAGGGGTTTGCGCAGATCTGGTCTTCTGAGTTTCCAGAGTCGTAACACAGCTGGGTTTGTTGCGTCTGTTGATTTAGGGTATGGATCGGAATTTGAGGTGGAGCAAAGGATGGATTGAAGCAGGGTTTAGGGCATGGATCACAAAAGGAATTGGGGTTTGGGGCATCTCAACCACTCGAATCTTCCCATCTACTTGCTATCTTTTTTTTTTTTTAACTTTTTGTTGGCAATTGGGAAAGGACATGGAGGATAGATGATGGCAACAATGGCGATAAAGGATTTGGGGTTTGGATTAGCTGTGGCCGAAGAGCTTCCTGGGGCTAGGAGGAGAGGGCGACTTGGAAAGTCGGATTGGGACTGGGAGGCGGTGGATTCAGTTCGTCTTGATGCGACGATTTGGTTGCGAGACGACGAGCTGATTTGGGGATTTTGGGTGCGATTAAAGAAAGGAAAAGAAAATAAATGATGTGGCGTCTATGTGGCAAGTGAGGCTGAGTTGTCGCGGATGTGTGTATTTTATTTTATTTTATTTTTCTCTTTTAATCCACGTCAGTTAGTGAGGTCAGGAAAACGCCAACTAAGCATTCACCGTTAGTCCAGTCATCTCTTTAACCGATGGAGTTAATAAAGTGGACGGAAATGACTATAGAAGTGTATTTTGTCTAAATTATTTTCTATCTAAAATTTGCATCTCATTCATAAAAAAGCTCACAATATATATCAGGTACTTATGTGGACATATTAACATGGCCTGGGGACTAAACTTACCTTTTAGCCACAGTTCATTCTCTTCTCTCTCGTTGACGGGAATGGATCAGGTCAGTAACCTTATGGTGAGTAATCATGAGTAACCCGTCCACATCAGCATGACATCAGCATCCTCTCTCTCATGGAAAGCCTTTAATTTTTCCCTTTTTAATCTTTGACGGACGATTTCTCGCTCATTTTAAGTCGAAATTTAATTTTTTTTGCACAGTTAGATCAGATTAATTGTGCTCTTCAAAATGATATCCACTTTAATATATTTTTCGAACAAAAAAAATTGAGCCAGTTTTTACCAGCCTATACCATATGGTATTGACTGGTATTGAAATAAAAGCATACCTATGTTTTGAAAAACGTACCATGGTGGTATGAACAAACCAATACTTTAGGATGGTTGAATACATGATAGTAGAAGTATATTAATTGTAATTTACGACTTTTAACATTGTATACCACACAATACCACCCCGTACCAGGGTGGTATTGTATGGTATTGTGTGGTATTTTTCGGTCCTGTAATTTGTTCACCCAGAAATTTGTAGATCCAATAGATCATGATGAACTCGTCCCTTCTGTGCAAACGTTTTCAAAAACGAATTAAAAACGAAGAAGATACCATACAATACCACACCGTACCGGGGTGGTATTGTATGGTATTGTGTGGTATTTTTTGGTCCTGTAATTTGTTCACCTAGAAATTTGTAGATCCAGTAGATCATGATGAACTCATCCCTGCTGTGCAAACGTTTTCAAAAACGAATTAAAAACGAATAAGATACCATATGGTATGCAGTTGGTACCGAGAGGCCAGAATTGTTTTTTCCTAAAAAAATATTGAAAATTGATCTCATTTTGTAGATCACGGTGAACTCGTTCCATCTGTGCAAAAAAAATTAAAATCCGAGTTAAAACGAAAAAGATATGAGTCAATTAAGAAAGCTAGTGAAAATAAAAATAGTCTTTAATTCTCCATCCTTAGATCTGGATTTTCTAAATGAAGGGACAAATTTGGTTATTGATGGGTGCATAACCCATGGTTATGCACCCTATCTTGAGCCCTCGGTTGACTGGGAATGGATCAGGTCAGTAACCTTATGGTGAGTAACCATGAGTAACCCGTCCACATCAGCATGACATCAGCATCCTCTCTCTCATAGAAAGCCTTTAATTTTTCCCTCTTTAATCTTTAACGGACGATTTCTTGCTCATTTTAAGTCGAAATTTAATTTTTTTTGCACAGTTAGATCAGATTAATTGTGCTCTTCAAAATGATATCCACTTTAATATATTTTCCGAACAAAAAAAATTGAGCCATTTTTTACCAGCCTATACCATATGGTATTGACTGGTATTGAAATAAAAGCATACCTATGTTTTGAAAAACGTACCATGGTGGTATGAACATACCAAACTGTAGGATGGTTGAATACATGATAGTAGAAGTATATTAATTGTAATTTACGACTTTTAACATTGTATACAACACAATACCACCCCGTACCAGGGTGGTATTGTATGGTATTGTGTGGTATTTTTAGGTCCTGTAATTTGTTCACCCAGAAATTTGTAGATCCAATAGATCATGATGAACTCGTCCCTTCTGTGCAAACGTTTTCAAAAACGAATTAAAAACGAAGAAGATACCATACAATACCACCCCGTACCAGGGTGGTATTGTATGGTATTGTGTGGTATTTTTTGGTCCTGTAATTTGTTCACCCAGAAATTTGTAGATCCAGTAGATCATGATGAACTCGTCCCTGCTGTGCAAACGTTTTCAAAAACGAATTAAAAACGAAGAAGATACCATATGGTATGCAGTTGGTACCGAGAGGCCAGAATTTTTTTTTTCTCAAAAAATATTGAAAATTGATCTCATTTTCTAGACCACGGTGAACTCGTTCCATCTGTGCAAAAAAAATTAAAATCCGAGTTAAAACGAAAAAGATATGAGTCAATTAAGAAAGCTAGTGAAAATAAAAATAGCCTTTAATTCTCCACCCTTAGATCTGGATTTTCTAAATGAAGGGTCCAGATTTGGTTATTGATGGGTGCATAACCCATGGTTATGCACCCTATCTTGAGCCCGGTTGACTGGCTTCTCAAAGTCCAAATCCCCAAGAATAAATTGGGGGAAACCAAAAAAAAAAAAAAAAACAACAACAACAACAACAACTAGAACGAAGGTGAGGAAGGCCCTTAGGTTCAGCAAAAATGTCCATTAACGTTCCTGTGGGAATGGCAAGCGCCGCCGATCCACGAGTTCCTCTGATGAACTTATCTGCAGTCAGGGAGAGATTGGATTTGTTGCAGCGGTTCCTGGCTGAATCGGTCAATGGCAAAACACTAATCAGCCAAAATCAGATGGAAATGGTGTCCTCCGAAATCTCCTCTGCCATCCAACAGACCATCGTCAACGGCGCCGCTCTTCTCGCTTGCTCTCAATCCATTGAGCCGCCTCCAATGCCTGCCGAGCTCCGCGATCCCCCGGATCGGAAGAAAGGTAAAGAGCAAGAGCAAGAGAAGCAGCTGTCGTTCCAATTGAAGGATGAAGTAGACCGGGAAGAGGGCGACTCCGACCGCAGCGGCGACGTAGTCGAGCTGGACGCGGTGGAGCTGCTGGCGGAGCACGCCCACTTCTGCGAGATATGCGGGAAAGGATTCAAGCGCGACGCGAATCTGAGGATGCACATGAGGGCCCACGGGAACCAATTCAAGACCCCGGAGGCCCTGGCAAAGCCCGCCGCGGCGGCGACCAGCGACGGGACGAGGAAGTCGAGATTCTCCTGCCCCTTCGAAGGATGCAATAGGAACAGGAAGCACAAGAAGTTTCGGGCTCTGAAGTCGGTGATCTGTGTGAAGAACCACTTCAAGAGAAGCCACTGCCCCAAGTTGTATTCCTGCAATCGCTGCCACAAGAAGAATTTCTCTGTTGTGGCCGATTTGAAGAGCCACCTGAAGCACTGTGGCGAGTCGCGGTGGAAGTGTTCCTGTGGGACTAGCTTTTCAAGGAAGGACAAGTTGTTTGGGCACATGGCCCTGTTCGAAGGTCATATGCCTGCTGTGGAAGGCGAAGAAGAAGAAGAAGTCAAGGGCAGCAAATTAGGCGGAGCAATGAAGGAAGACGAAGAGGAGGAAGGCTTCTTTGATGGGTTGCTGGATGGAGTTGGTGCTGGGTCTATGGATTGCAACCGTTTGCAGGATGTTTTGGAGTATCCTACATCCTCCAATTGGGTTACTGAGATGTCATCGTTTTGTGGATTTGAGCTGTGATTTGCGTTGTTGATCAACTACCCAGGTGCAAAGTTTCTGTCTTTCCCTCTCTGCTTGATGATGATGATGAATGTATGTCTTATGAGTTCTTCATTCCCTGTAAACAATAATGGTAAGTCAGTTCTTTCGGTTTGGTTTTTGCTTATGTATACATATACAGTTCTAATATAGGAATGAAATTATTTGTGGTAGAGAGTGCAAATCAGAAGTTCTTGTTTGTGCTCAATTGGGTTGGTTCTTTGCTGTGATATCACTCCAAAATCCAAATGGCTCTGCGCATGATAAAATTGTGTCATCAGCACATTCTTGATATAGCTTTGTCGCGTTTCTCTTTCTACTCACCAACTCCCAACGTATGTGGCTTCCTGGGATTTCATTTCCACACTCAGTTGGTTTTTTTCATCCCGTGCAGTTCAAAGCTGATGGTCTTTGAACTCCATTCAATTGGTCCCTTTGATCCGAGGATGTACTCCATTCAATTGTGCATTCATTCTATGAATTGTAGGAAGAACAGTAATGTTATGTGGGAGGCCCCAACCCAGTTGATGGGATTGGTGAAAGGTTGCTTCATCTTAGTTCAGAGTAGGCAGAGAATTCAGATTCCAGTTTGGTTGGCGGCCAACTGTGAGTTGGCTGATGGCTCATAGTCAAAACGTTTTCTGCGACTGCAACTGGGTGGTGGTGGTGGGTCGAGGGAACGTTCCCTTGAATGGTCTTCATGCCATAGAGACGAGAGATGTCCCATCCTCCTGTTCCTACTTCTCAACCTCTGGGCAGCTTACCCACACGGTATAGTAATCCTGTTTTTGAAATTTACTAGGAGACGAGCAGGCTGATACCATTGTTTTGTCGTAGTCGTAGCCCGATTGAAATTGAAGCTAAACTTCTCCCACAACCTTTAAAATTAACTCAAGAATAGCCTTAAAAAAAAAAAAAACTCAAGAATATGGTTCCAACTTCGGATTGTGTGGTTCGTTCGGTGTTGCCAGGTGCCTGTCCCAGCTCTATCCTCTTATTCAACGTAGTGACCTTGCCTTGGTGCAGCGCGGCATGGATTAGTGGAATAAAGTGAATGTTTATCTGTAAAAAAAAAAAAAAATGGATGTTTATTTTTTTTTGGTAAGAATAGGGCGCTAAGGGGTATTAACCTTTATTCCGGCTCAAGATAGGGTGCATAACCATGGGTTATGCACCCATCAATAACCAAATCTGGACCCTTCATTTAGAAAATCCAGATCTAAGGATGGAGAATTAAATGCTATTTTTATTTTCACTAGCTTTCTTAATTGACTCATATCTTTTTCGTTTTAACTCGGATTTTAATTTTTTTTGCACAGATGGAACGAGTTCACCGTGCTCTACAAAATGAGATCAATTTTCAATATTTTTTTAGGAAAAAAAAATTCTGGCCTCTCGGTACCAACTGCATACCATATGGTATCTTCTTCGTTTTTAATTCGTTTTTGAAAACGTTTGCACAGCAGGGATGAGTTCATCATGATCTACTGGATCTACATATTTCTGGGTGAACAAATTACAGGACAAAAAAATACCACACAATACCATACAATACCACCCTGGTACGGGGTGGTATTGTATGGTATCTTCTTCGTTTTTAATTCGTTTTTGAAAACGTTTGCACAGAAGGGACGAGTTCATCATGATCTATTGGATCTACAAATTTCTGGGTGAACAAATTACAGGACCAAAAAATACCACACAATACCATACAATACCACCCTGGTACGGGGTGGTATTGTGTGGTATACAATGTTAAAAGTCGTAAATTATAATTAATATACTTCTACTATCATGTATTCAACCATCCTACAGTATTGGTTTGTTCATACCACCATGGTACGTTTTTCAAAACATAGGTATGCTTTTATTTCAATACCAGTCAATACCATATGGTATAGGCTGGTAAAAAATGACTCAAATTTTTTTGTTCGAAAAATATATTAAAGTGGATATCATTTTGAAGAGCACAATTAATCTGATCTAACTGTGCAAAAAAAATTAAATTTCGACTTAAAATGAGCGAGAAAAATCGTCCATCAAAGATTAAAGAGGGAAAAATTAAAGGCTTTCTATGAGAGAGAGGATGCTGATGTCATGCTGATGTGGACGGGTTACTCATGGTTACTCACCATAAGGTTACTGACCTGATCCATTCCCCTTTATTCCGTACGATCCAGACGAGGGGGGAATGGATCAGGTCAGTAACTTTATGGTGAGTAATCATGAGTAACCCGTCCACATCAGCATGACATCAGCATCCTCTCTCTCATGGAAAGCCTTTAATTTTTCCCTCTTTAATCTTTGACGGACGATTTCTCGCTCATTTTAAGTCGAAATTTAATTTTTTTTGCACAGTTAGATCAGATTAATTGTGCTCTTCAAAATGATATCCACTTTAATATATTTTCCGAACAAAAAAAATTGAGCCATTTTTTACCAGCCTATACCATATGGTATTGACTGGTATTGAAATAAAAGCATACCTATGTTTTGAAAAACGTACCATGGTGGTATGAACAAACCAATACTTTAGGATGGTTGAATACATGATAGTAGAAGTATATTAATTGTAATTTACGACTTTTAACATTGTATACCACACAATACCACCCCGTACCAGGGTGGTATTGTATGGTATTGTGTGGTATTTTTTGGTCCTGTAATTTGTTCACCCAGAAATTTGTAGATCCAATAGATCATGATGAACTCGTCCCTTCTGTGCAAACGTTTTCAAAAACGAATTAAAAACGAAGAAGATACCATACAATACCACCCCGTACCAGGGTGGTATTGTATGGTATTGTGTGGTATTTTTTTGTCCTGTAATTTGTTCACCCAGAAATTTGTAGATCCAGTAGATCATGATGAACTCATCCCTGCTGTGCAAACGTTTTCAAAAACGAATTAAAAACGAAGAAGATACCATATGGTATGCAGTTGGTACCGAGAGGCCAGAATTTTTTTCCCTAAAAAAATATTGAAAATTGATCTCATTTTGTAGAGCACGGTGAACTCGTTCCATCTGTGCAAAAAAAATTAAAATCCGAGTTAAAACGAAAAAGATATGAGTCAATTAAGAAAGCTAGTGAAAATAAAAATAGCCTTTAATTCTCCATCCTTAGATCTGGATTTTCTAAATGAAGGGTCCAGATTTGGTTATTGATGGGTGCATAACCCATGGTTATGCACCCTATCTTGAGCCAGTTTGAATCCCATCCTTTGTACTAATAAAATTTTGGTTTAGACTTGGTTGAACTGTTTTCTACTGTCAAAATTGTTTATCGGTTTTGTCTAGTATCCATTATTCAGGTCTGACCGGTAGATACACAATTGGGTTTCTAAAACATTGGAAAAAGAAAAAAAATATCAACAGAGGAGTAATTGGTTGAGTTATTCATTGCAGAGTGATATCCATTTTTCGGTTAGTGCAATAGTTATATTGTTGGCGGTGTCGTTACCGTTAGGTTGAAATGACTTTCGATGTAACTGATACTTGTTAACGGTCAAACTAATAACTAACCAAGTATAAATATCTGATTATTGTCTGTTTCTTCAATCTAATTTGACGACATAATGGTGTTATTGTGTACTTCTGTTAGATTAAGTTGATTGTGGATTAATATCTATGTTCAATTATTAATTGTTCAATGAAAACAATTTTTTTAAAAAAGAATACATATGCATATAGGAAAAAATCTACCAAGTTCATAATTGAAAAGGAGGACTTATGTTTATTCGGTTATGAATTGGTTATTTTGGTATAACCAGTGGCGTAGCCATAATTTTGCATTAGGTGCCAATTAAAAAAAAAAACTTTATTCCCTAGATCTGAAGGTAGGCTTAAAATGGTTTACCGGGAGAGATTGTTGTGGCAGTACTGGTGTAGTTGAGTTAGAGTTAAATGTAGGTGCAGTTGATGAATTATCTTCATGTCCTTGAACATTTGGATTTGTTTTGACCCTTTTTATCAAGATTTCTCCATGGTAAAAGCTACATATTTAAAAAAACGGAGTAACCAAATAATTAATTGAAAAAACTCAATTAGATTGGGTACAATAACAATAAGAAACCACAATGACAATCTTTACCTATGGGTTGGGGTGGTGATAATGGAAAATTGGTCAATTGAGACTTGTGTGCTGCTACATATAGGTTGCCTTTGTAGTGGAAGCCTGGAAGGGAATTTGATTACTAGATTAGTTTGTCATCATTTTGATACTTTTTGGATAAAAATATTTGTTTTAATATTTACTTGTCCCAACTCCTAAATGTCCAAGTCCACAGGTATGGGTGCAATTTTAATTGGCTCTCTCCAACTTACATCTATTTTCCTTTTATTGAACCCAAAGCAAGGGTGTACATTAGCACCCCTCCTTCTGTGCTAGGTCTGCCCCTGGGTATAACTTTATCGAATCACTGGTTTAACGATTATTTGATTATCTAAGAAAATAACCAAGAACTGACTATACAATTATAGTTACCGACTAATATAAATATAATAAGGTTAAAGATAAACACAAAGTACTTAAATGTTAATAAAAATCAAAGTTTTATAACCAAACCGATTGTCAACCTTTCACTTCCCATTTCATTTTCTGTTTTTTGTTTAAAAAATAAAAAACAAGAAACAAATGAAAAAAAACGTGTTCACTTGTCCATCTCGTTTTCGTTGGAAAAAACCAATTGTTACAAATGGGAAAGCTGTGGATAAACAATAGGGCCTGCTTACTTTCATTTCTGTTTCCTGTTTTTGAGAAAACAGATGTTGAAAACAGGTGAAAACAACATTTTGTCGTTTTCGAAAACAGCAGGAAGTTGCCACTTTCTGTTTTCATAGTTGGAAACGAATAGAAAACATAATGAAAAGTAAACAAATTTTCTCATTTCAGTTGCCAAATTTATCACATGAAAACAGAAAACAGGAAACGAAAATGAAAGTGAACAGGGCCTAAATAGTCGTTTTCTATAAGTAAGGAGTCGGGTTATTCCCCCGTTTCCCAGCGGAAATCGCGCGCTAGCTATTACAGCCTGTTTGGATACAATTCAAGAAGAAATGGAAATGGAATTCTATTTCCAATTCCTATTTTTATAGAATTCCATTTCCAATTTTAGTGTTTGGTACAATTCCTCCAACTAAAGAAATGAATTGCACTTTTAACAATAATTAATAATATAATATATTTATTTTATCTTGGGAAATGAAATATGAATGATAGAGAAAGAGAGTAGTGTGATAGTTGGTTAATAAAATAATAATAAATAGTGATGGGACCCACTAATTCCATCTTCATAAACACAATTCCTATCAGTTTTGATAGGAATTGTAATTCCCAAAACTTAGCCCAAATGGAATTCATTTCTCAACCTTCTTATCCTTCCAAACATAAAATATGGAATTGGAATTGAAAATGGAATTCCAATTCCTGAGTTTTTTGTCTATCCAAACAGGCTGTTAATGAGAGCCCGCGTTCGAATTACCGCAGCCACATTTTTTCTTCTTTTTCCTCCGTGATCCTATACGGCGCCGTTTTTACCCAACTCTTTCACCCATAACCTAGAAGAACTCCTCGCCCAGCCGACATCTCCCTCTCCCTCCAACAGACCCGCCGGCCGCCACTTCCTTCTCCACCCAAACCACCACCAGCCCCATCGTCTTCCTCCGCCAGCCCCACGCCTCGCCAACCCCGCGTTCGAGCTTTCCCATTCTCGATTTCTCCTCCAGCAGAGAAGCTCCAGCCGCACATTTTCCTGGGTGGAGTCGCCAGCCCCGCGCCGCCATCATCTGCGAGATGAAATCTTCCCCGACGCGAGAAGCTCCAGCCGGTGGAAATGGCACCTGCAGGCGACTCATTCCAGTAGAAGCAGCACCGAAAAGGAGCTTCCCCCTTCTCGATTCCTCCTCCAGCAGACACCCTCCAAGATTCTTATATCCATCATACTACAGGGGAAACTTTCTGGTCATCATTCGACAATTATACAGTGGGTGGGTGGCATTTCTCTACTAGTTAGTCATACTAGTGACGTGAGCCTTTCACATTTCTCTTTAATTTGCCAATTGTTGAAGTAACCTTGGACTTGTAACACAGACTGCAACACAAGGACTAAGATGTGGATACAGAACTCAGAACACAAAAGACAATGAATGGATGAGGATTGGAAATGTAAAGTTGTGTTCTTCAATCCATCGATCATGTTCTATATGATAGAACGAAAGAGAATGCAAGTATATGAAGAACGGAGACAAGTTTAGTAAAAAAATTCTTGCCACAGGAAAGCGATACTTTCAATGAGTTTGGTGAGATTTTTAACTTTCCATGACATGCTATGCTAGATTGCTAGGCCACATTACACATCAACCACACTCATGAAACTTCACCTTGCAAATCAAGCATTTGGCAACCTTTTTTCTTAATTGAAGCATCGAAGGTGGCTAGAGATATATAGCTGCTGATTGAGGTCAACGGTAGCCGGTAGCGATATATAGTACTTAATTAACATAAGATGTTTTACTTGTATTGTGTTTATTTGTAGTTTAAAACTATTTAATTCGAATTAAAAATTATAAACATGGTTAGGGTTGTATGATAATCAAGAATCAGAAAACAGAATGAAGCAACTAAACATGTTTTTATTTTCAGAACTCAGTTTCAGAACTCACCAAAATTCTCAGCTAAACAAGGTTTTTTCAGGTTTTGTTTTTCAGAAAATGACAGCTTCGTTTTCATTTTCATTTTGTTTTCTGTTGTGGCAGCTAAAAAAATGGAATGGCAAGTAAACGGCCCATTACTTTCTACTATTTTTAAAGCATAGAGTAAAATAATGGACATGTGAAAGGGGAAAACATGAGATTACCCGATATTGTAAACAAGACAAGTAACAAAGTAACAAACATAGATTACTCCCAAGTCCCACCTAACTCTCGTTGCTTTTGGATATGGGTAAATGACACATTTGGTCACTGAGATTACTAAATCGTGTCATATTTAGTCACTAGAAAAATTTAATATCAATTTTGGTCACTCGAATTACTGAAACAGGTCACATTTGGTCACTTTTCTGTAGCCTCTGTCCAACTCCGGTCACTCGAATTATTGAAAAATGTCACATTTAGTCACTCGGATTACTGAAACATGTCACATTTAGTCACTCTCAAAAGTTTCCGTCCAACTACATTAATGGAGTTGGACGGAAACTGACGGGAGAGTGACTAAATTTGACCAGTTTCGGTAATTCGAGTGACCAAAATTGATATTAATTTTTTCTAGTGACTAAACATGACACAATTTAATAATCTCAGTGACCAAATGTGTCATTTACCCTTTTGGATATATATGTAAGTTCCAGAGAATAAAAGAGACACAATGTTCTTTCTTGTTTCCCCTTGAATAAACAAATAAAAACGATCACACCCCCCACCAAAATTTTAGAAATAAAAACAATGAAAAATCAACTTAATATTGCCATGCATTTCATTTCAACTATCTCTGATAATCACTAAGGATTAAGGACGAAATAACCCATGAGTTCTTCCGTAATCCCGGCCCACAATAGCAAGGCACAACTCTATCCATGAATAGAATATTGGTTTCCAGGCAGCTAAGCAGAGAGAGCCCAAGAAAGTTAGGTCTTTCCTCTCTGTCGTTTTTGTTTTGTTTTGGGCTTAGCTAGCTAGTTTTAAGCTGCTGTGTTTCTCGGGGGGTGAGGATTTGTGATGAGAAGCAGATTAAATGGAACAATTTGGGTTAATGGCTCATAATCATGATCATCGTCGTAATCGTAATCATCATCATCATCAGATCCCGCTGTCAAGCGGTGGTTGTTCCCCAAAAGCTTCGATTACAACTGAACCGCCTTCCTCCCTCGAAGAAGGATTGAAGCCGCCGACGAGCATTAATGTTCATTCTCTCTCACAAGTTCCTTCATCGTCGGCAGGAGACGGTGTTAGCTCCTCTTCAACAATCCACGCTCATAAGGTAAACAATACCACCAAAAGCCTCTTTCTTACTAGCTAGCTACATATATACAGTTAACGGTGGTCACGTGGGTGATTAATCTGTGTATTGATATAGATTCACCCGCAAATAACCCAACCCGCACGTAGTAAGTGATTGATGTGGGTGGATTGCAGATTGGTAAATCTCTCACCCACACTTATGTGGGTGAGTGGTGGGTGGATTGTGGGTCACCCATATAACCCACATCCTTTTTTTACCTGAATTTTTTTTTTTTTATAGTATTGAATATTCATCAAATTTTCGAACCGCACTACAGTTTGATCATATACTTCAAAAGGTGGAGAATAAATAATAGTTTTGAGTTTTTGACTACTATTATTGGTCATTGTGTTGTGCAATATCCATTAGATATTGGATACTGGTATGCAGATTATTGTTAATAATCATTAAATATTTGTTTGCAAACTATAAATTATTAATTGTATCAAAATCATAAATTCTTGATACAGTCTTACTAATTTGCTGTGAACTTATTATAAATGTCAGTCAACTTTCTTAATGGCTAGTTGAAGAATTGCTTTTGCGGGTTGACCCGCGACCCAACCGCACCCATCTGCCACCCCACCCAACTTACAGAAGTATGTATGTGGATTGCGAGTCACAATTATTCCAACCCGCTAGTAAGCGGGTGGGTCAATTTGAGACCAACACCCACCCAACCCGCCCGTTGCCCACCCCTATAATACAGTCATGTAATACGTTGCGTTTAATGAATGAAACAGATAATAGCGGAGCTGGTGGGGAGCTACGTGGTCGTCTTCGTAGGGTGCGGTTTCATTATGGAGAGCAAGTCGTCGGAGATGGGTGTGGTGAGCGTGGGAGCGGCGTGGGGGCTTGCCTTTATGGTCATGATTTACGCTCTCGGCCACGTCTCCGGTGGCCATTTCAACCCGGCCGTCACCGTTGCTCTGGCGGCTTCCTGCAGCTTCCCCTGGAAACAGGTGGCGGGGTACGTGGCAGCACAGGTGGCAGGGTCGTCGCTGGCGGTGTTGAGCCTGTCGTTTCTGTTCGATCACCGGAGTGAAGTGGACGTGAAGGTGACGGTGACGAGGCTGCAAGGATCGGTGTCGTGTTCGCAAGGCTTGGCGTGGGAGTTCGTCACGTCTTTCTTTCTCATGCTCACCATCTGTGGCGTCGCCGTTGACCCCAGAGCTGTACGTTTCTATCTATGCCACCATAACAATGATAATAATAAAATAATAATAGTTAATTAACTTTTACTAATTATGATGCAAGAGTAATTTTTTATTTGTTTTACTGACACCAAAACTCTTGATCATATAATATTTTGGTGTATGAATATATATGACAGATACAGGAGCTATCAGGGATCACCATCGGAGCTGCAGTGATGTTTAATGTTATGATTGCCGGGTACGTACGTTATTCAGCAAACTCACGTGTCTTATTAATATTTGTTCCACCAAATGTTCTGTTTCATCTTATTTCACCATAACATCTCTCGATACCTCAGCTTTGAGATTAAAAGTAAACAAAACTCCCCCCCTTAATTGTGTGCTTGCGCACGAGGTAGTTTTGTTTACGAGCTCGCACAACACGGTCGTATAGCACATGATATGAGCGAAATATATGAACGCGAATAATTTATGGGTTGTATTGGGTCCAGATTATATGGGCATGAACACGACTCCATTTATAAACAAGTGTTGGGCCTAATGTTTTTTGGACTCAATCAATAAGTATATATAGGTCCAAACAAGATACTTCTAAATTAAAATAGATTTACGATCGAGTTAAGAAATACAAAATTACAACCATGCAAATTAAGTATTATTGTTCGTAGAAATGTCCATTACTATCATTAATATTAAGCATAAATACTGAAATAAATAAAATGCTCGCAAAAAAAAAAAAAAAAAGAGGTCAAATCACCCCACTATACTTCCAATTTTCTTCTTCCCCATATTTTTTTTCACTTTCCTCAACCCTCCTCAATTACCACTTTCACCATCCCCTTATTGTTTCTTTTTCTATTTCATTTTTATTTTCTTCCTTTCTATTAAACATGAATACGAGTAGCCACCATAGCTCAAACTATGCTCGAACATGAATCGTCCTCAAAGCATTATTATTATTATTGTTATTCTTCTTCTTATTATTATTAAATAATTGTGATGATGAAGTGTTGGTGAAAGCAGGAATATGACGGGAGCATCAATGAACCCAGCAAGAAGCATTGGGCCTGCTCTTGTCAACAGAGAATTCCACAATCTCTGGATCTATGTTGTTGGCCCAATCGTTGGCATGCTGGCCGCCACCGCCATCTACACTGTCCTGCTCACTCACAACCACAACCACAATCACAACAACAACAACAACCACTCGGAGATCAATTCGACGTCGGCCGGTAAGGAGACCTCCAAATAAACCGTATGTCCGTCTCCGTACGTGAGAAACGACGATCCCGAACCCAGCTGCTCCTCTGCCTCTTGGGCAGTTGTAGGTATTAGCTATGTTTAACACATGTGCCTTCATGTATGGATCCCTGGAGAATGAGAATACATAAATATATAGTCTTCCTGCATTCAAATTGATTTAATTAGGGGTGAAGAAATAGAAATAAAGATGTTGGGAGATGTTTTTGTAGTGGTACATCTTTGAAATAAGCTAATTCCATCTCGGTCAATTTTGTTGTTATTTGTACAAGTGTACCAACTTTAAAAGCAGTACCCATTCACAAGTCGGTTCACAATCATAAGATTTTTTTTTGGGTAGGAAGAGGGTGATAAGGGCACCAAACCTCAAACGTTTACAAAACGGGGGGGGGGGGGTTCGATCCCAAGCTGGTCAAAGAGAAGTCAATAATTAAGCATGCAGCTTCTCCCGGGCGGACGGGAGTGGCCGATAGAAGCTAGGTAGTTCGCCACCGCGTTTCCCTCTCTAAAGATATGTTTAATCCGCACTTGCCAATCCCGTTGCAATAGCCGCCTTAGCTCTGAAATTAAACCACCGTAAAATGAGGGTGAGTTGTAGCAGCCGACTCAAGGAGATGAATTGCCATCTTGGAATCTGTCTGGAGGATTGCCTTCCGGATCCACATTGCAGAGGCTTATGGGTCTGAATTGTTCGATCGAAGTGGGCTGCTTTATCTTCGGTATCAGCACTAATATGGTTTCATTGATCACCCTAGTCCTTGGCGGTTCGTCCCAACAACATTGAGAAAAATCAATAAATTTTGCACCAACCATGCTCCATAGCCGTTGAAAGAAGAGAGGATTCAACCCGTCTTTCCCGGGTGCCTTTAAGGGTCCCATACCTTTCACTGTAAGGTGAAGTTCCTCCGAAGTGAACTGATCATCCATCGTCAGCAATTCATGATGTGGTAACACTTGGAATCCATGTAATATTGGTGTGATCGGTGCACCGTCATCCAGGTAAGGGTCGCAAAGAAACTCCAAGCGAGCGCCTGAATTTGATTTTGGTCTTCGCACCAATCACCATTATCCAATTTCAGTGCCAGGATTCAAGGTCAGTAAAATCCAAATTATGAAGGATTTCATTCTTTACTAACCTTTCCATACTTTCTTTGGATATGTGATCTAAATGTCTATGCCACAAATAAGCAAAGAATTCATCAAACAAACCACATATAGTATCAACATTAAAATTCAAGGTTAAGAGAGTCTCAACGAATAAGGTATCAAGCTTTAGTTTATAAAAAGCATCAATAACTGTACAAGGATTGGTAGTAATAAGGGTGTACATGGGTCGGGTGGTCCGGGTTTAGCTATTTTAATCACCCGACCCATGCACTACGGTTTGGAAAATATTAAACCCAAACCCAACCAAAAAAATTAAAACCCTATGGGTTGTTTTCAATTGGGTTGGGTCGGGTTGCCGATATTTTTAAGTAAAAACCAAACCCAACACAAAATATGTAATTATTCTACACCATAAAAATATTTTTATAACTAATTAAAATTTCAAACGAATAAACCGAGGTGAAAGGTATTGAAATTCACAAATGTTGTTTGAATTTTAATAAAATATAATTTACTTCAACATATGTCTATAGTTTTTTCACAATATTTGTTTAAATAGGCTAAATAGGTTATAAACAAACACATCCATAATATGTTATTCTATTAAAATTGTACACAAGAAAAAGGATTACGTGAATCATAGCTATATTAAATCTATGTCTAAATTTTAAGCCGATGAATGCATTAGATTAGGGAAACAATGGGAGAAAAACATGGCAAAATATTTTAATTTTCTTATAAGTATGGCTATATACGACATAAATATTTTTTGTACACGAACTCATACTAATAGTTGGAACACGGGTTGGGTCGGGTTCGACGGGTTGTGTAATCCAAAATCCAAACCCAACCCAAAAGAGGCGGGTTGTACAAAATAAAACCCTCACCCAACCCAAAACCTTAGTTTTAGCGATAAATGCGGGTGGGTTGGGTCGGGTTGGACGGGTGGGTCGGTTTGCGGGTGTATTTGTTCACCCCTAGGTAGTATGACTTCTTAGTATCTTAAGCCTCGCTTCCTCTTGAATGAGCATTTTTTTGTAATCCATGCACATTCCATTTATCCTACAGAGTATTATAATGCACGTGAAATGTGCCCTACTTTGGAGGTAAGGAATTAAGGATGAACATTACTTGGAAATTTTTATTCACTTCCACACCCATGGTCTTTAGTCTTGCTTCAATATTCGTCATTTTGACAATATGCTCATGCATGGTACGAGAACCATCAAACTTCCTAGTGGTTAGCATACCCATTAATGTCAAAACAAGCGATTTCAACAGACTCAAATTGAGCGTTTATTTTCATGGAATCCATAAATTCCTTAGCACTTTTAGTTCACCGTTTGTGAATCCCTCAAATAAATGCAGGAATTCGTGAGAATATGGTATCTTCAAGTTATAGTAGATTAATAAACAATCTGTATAAGGGACAATTGCTCCTTATTATTGAAAGATAACTTACTGGTGTTTGCTATAGTAATTCGCATAAACATTAGGCTCAACCTGTTGGATCTTTCTTAAGCCTTATGGAAAGACTTCTCCTCAACACTGCTAGTGCAGTAAGAGCAACAATTTTCTCACTTAAGAGTGCCAAATCAAAATCTAGGACACCGAGGTGAAATTGAACAATCTAAGAGCATTAAGAGAAATTGAGTCCGTTAAACTTAACAACATGCGTGCCTTGCGAGTGAAGAGAAACATAAACAGAGGCTACAAATATATAACATGAGCTTACACATTTATGCCTTGAGCAAAAGCATAATCTATAATACAGATTGAGAAGCATGGACATAAACTATATATTAGCTTTGGGCAAAAGAACAATATATCCAATAAATAAACGTAATTGATGCTTAAATGATTTCACATAATTGGTGATCCACATACTCAAATTATATATACTTGCAATATTTGGATATACTAATTACTAAGTATATCTAACCACTACAACAAATTTGGCCTATTAGGAAAAAAAATTTGTTTTGTCATTTTCTGTTTGTCACAATAGGTACGGTGATACGACAAAAATAATATATGTCATATTTGGTATGCCTAATGTGACAAAAAAATTATTGTCAGAATAAGTCATCATTTAAAGTGAGCAAATGTGACAAATATTTCGTATCACAATTAATTTTGTCAAAATAGGCGTCCTTTATCGGGATGTAAGAGACTCAACGGTGACAAATTTCTGGTTGTCAGAATATTTCGTCATTTGAAGTGAGTAATGTGACAAATATTTCATGTCACAATTATATTTGTCAAACTAAGCATCGCACATCGAGATGGAAGAGACACAAAAGTGACAAATTATATTGTCATAGTAGCTTTTGTCATATTATGCCTTCCTAAATTGTTTAAATGACAAAGTATTTTGTCACAATAGATAACAATAATCTCACGACGAGCTGACAAAATGCATGTTCGTCATAATATAGTGGTTTCATTTTTGACAAAAGGAATTTTCGTCAGATTTGCTTGTATTAGACTGAAACCTCGTGTTAAACTAATACCAATCGGCTCGAGCGACACATTTTTTCCCCACCCCAATTTCAGTCCCTCCCAAGTTTTAAAATTTTGTACCGTACCGGCAGTTGAACCTCTAAATACCGGTACCGGAGCCAAACCCGAACGGTAGGATTAAAAGGGGGGAATACCGTACCAGCTGGTTTTTAGCGGTTGAACCTCCAACCCGCTTAATACCGATCAGTTTAAATTGTACCGTTCAACTCGTGAACAAATAAAAAAACGAAGGAAACTGCAGCCCCCAAAACGAAGTCGTTTTATCAACTAAAGGGAAATATAAAAATGTGGCGTCTCCGCGTCTGCATTGCAAAACCCTATCTTCTCCCACACCTTCACGCAACCAGCCTCAACCCTCCCCTTCGTCTCTTTGTTCAAAAGAGCAGGATGCTCTGCGATCAAGCCGCCACTATCGGCGATCCCGCCACCCCACTAACGGCCGCCAATCGCCAGCGCTACCCGTTCACCGCGACCAGATCTGCACCGCGACGCGAACTCTACGACGAGCCAAATTCCAGCGCGTGCCTCCACCACGAGTCAAACTCCACCGAGATCCTCCACCGCCGACCGCCACACAAGATGAACTGTGAGCCTCCACCGTAGAAGACTCCTCAGGTTTCTCAATCATCCTTTTCTCAGTTTATTTGACTTAAGTTTTGGGAGGGTACTGATGCTATTCCTTGATAGTTTCTAGTTTGGTAGTTATGAACTTTTCAATTTTGCTTATTCCTCTGTTTCTTGTCCAATGGATTTTTTTTATCTTTTAAATAATTTCTGTATTTTTTTCCTATGTTGAAGGTATTGATTTTGGGCGCTGATTAGGATCGACAGGTTGATTGTTGTGTTGGTGGTGGTGAGGTGGAGAGCGGTGCAGGCTTGAGGCACGTTGTTGTCCGATCTGGGTTCAGAAGGTAGAGCGACGGAGATGGTCGATTCGCCTTCCCTGCATTTTATGGGTGTCAAAGGGTTCTGATTATCGGGTTTGGAGGTTTGATTTGAAAGAAGCTTTATGGATTTCTGGCAGGGGCGGCGATTGGAGAAAGTTGAACCAGATTGAAATTGTGATTTGTTCTCCTCGTGGGTTTAGTTCTTGGATTGTATTGAGGTGTTATGTTTTTGCGTTTTTTGTGGTTTCTGAAGAAGATCCGTTTCTGTGGATTCTTACAAAAAAAATTAGAAGCGGAAGAGACATAAGGAAGGGACCAGAGATTGAGACCAGAGAAACAGAGCAGTCGCTGCTCTGTGAGGGAAATTTGAGGTGAATAGTTGTAGTGAGGGTAATGTAAATAGTGTAGCTTTTAGATTATGGTAAAATTGCCATATAGGACCTATAAATAAATTACATTTCATTATTTCAATCATCTAATTATCAAATCACTATAATTATGTATATAGTCGTCACAATATACAGTTATGACAATTAGACCAACGAGCTAAACCGGGTTAACAACTTTGCTTGTGACAAAATATAGTCGTCACAATATACAATTATGACAAAATATATTTGTGTAATATGACGAACAATTCTCCTAAAATCACTAGATTATGACAACCGTAATGACAAAATATGTCGTCATAACATCTATGTTTGTCAAAACAGACTACCTAGAACCTCAGATATACTGAAAGCAAATGTGACAACCTTGTTTTCAATTTTTTTCATATTTGACCTATCTTGACGGCGATAAAATGGCAAACCTTTGTGACAACACCTTTTGTCATATTATGTAATGGGTATCTAATATGACAAAATTGCCTCGTCATAATAGGCCAATTTTGTTGAGTGAACCAAGCACATCAATTTACCACAATAATCTTCATGAATTATAAAACGATCAACCAACCTTTGGACGATTCGAAAATATTTTATAATCATGAACTTCAACGTAAAAGCATCACATAAATAGATGAGTAGTTGAACTTGCTTTAATTTGATATCTATCAATCCTTCTAATTTGGCCACTTTGGTGACTAACAAATGAAGCATTATCCTTCCTAGAAGCAACCTTAACCTTAATGTGAACATTCGTTATAAGGATGGAGGCCACTAACCCTCTCCTATCTATACACCTCCATGGACACTTCGATAAATCTTGAGATCATGCATGAACCAAAATGCGACACTTAGATTGGACCAAAAAATCATAACCATATTTCCGAGCTAGTTTGTGACCTTCCAAAAGGGCATTTGTTTCAGCTTCAATCAAGGCTAGAAAAAATGAGTGTATTAGCACACCCATCACACACTTGTTCATGGTGTTCAATTTCCACAACACCATATGTCGCCGATTGAGAGTTGCTTAAAAACAACAAATCATAGTGAATCACCATTATTGGATGATTGCTTGGCAATGGAGTAGGATGAAGTTAGGCCCACTTAGCTGACTAGAACAATATGGATTGAGGAGGGGGATGACCTCAGACATGACGTCTAGTCAATGAAGTCCCTGGATGTTTGCATACATATATTCGGGGTCGATGAATTATACTTTTGAAAAACAAATTCATTTCTCGCCTCCATATATTCCAGTAGAGGAAGACAATATGTTAAAGGCTTCTAAGAAGCATAGGTTCCTTAAGGGAGCATATTTAGTCAAAGGAAGATGTGGCTTGGGAAGGCGGGGGGAGTGAGGAGAACATGTTATTTGGTTTGCTCGACGGATCGACTCATACCAAATCGATTATAAAGTAGTTCAGTCTTCGTATCATGAATTTTACAAATAGTAAAAAATAAATCAAATTTATATTTGTACTAGATCAAATCAGACCAAAGACAATGATGATACGATCCTCAATCCTAAATTTTCTTTTACTATTGAACCGCGGTTCTCATAATTTGATTCATGCACTTTTTTACACCTCTAAATACATTAACTCAAAGTATTAGGAACATTGGTAGATTTGTCAACGGTACCATAATTTGATGATGAGTTGGATATATGACCCTCTAACTAGGTACCTACTCAAATATAGTAGTTTGGAAGCCATATTTTACCCTATAGGAAGAACAAAAATAATCGTTACCCCACCCATCCGTTCATGTTGACCCAATTCACCTATATATATATATCGCTAAAATTAAAGTTTAAGGTTGGGGGATGGGTTTCTTCCGTGGATCCCACCTCTCTTGAGTTATGCAACCCGTAGATACTTGACCCAACCTATGTTACAACTATTGTCCTAAATGTTTGTATCCAAAATATATTTATGGCGTATACAAATATTTTTGTGCGGAGAATTATATATTTTTATCATTATTATATGTATTTTATATAGACTATGATTCATGTTTATTTAGTGTATATCATTTTAGAAGAATAGCATATTATGGATGCGTTAACGTATAATGTTCAACAATTTTAGTTTATTTTTTATAAATGTTTATTTGCTTAAAATTTTAATTAGTTATAAAGTACTTTTAGTGTTGGGTTGAGTTTTTACTTAAAAATATAGTTCACTCGACCCAATCCATTCATAAACTAACTATAGAGTTCCAATTTCTTTGGGTAAGTTTGAATTTAGTATATTCAAAACCAAAGTGTGGGTGAGATCCGACCAAAAAATAGTGTATGGGTGGGGTGAATATAATGACTATACCCGAATCATTGGACCCCCTATTTGGGCCACAGAGATGGATCCAACGGTGGATGAGCTAGGATGTATTCTTCCTGCGAAGATCTCGGAACGCAGGGGACCTGAAACTAAAGAGGGTTTTATTTTGTACTTTAGTATTTCTTCTCCAACTAGGGAGGTTCTAGGGCATCTAACTCCAGCCTCATCCTCCAAGTCCGTAGTAGTCGTACTCGTCTGTGCTTCTAAGTTCTTACCCATGCTTGCAAACGTGTCGTTCTCTCTAGCTCTTCTATCTCTCTCATTCTTCTTATCCGACGGAGCGAAGTGAAGATTGTGGCTTCAGGTGACCATACCACAACCAAGGTGCAGGTATGTTTGTTCGTTTTTCATTGAAATGCTCCCCCTTTCTCCCAATTTCTGTTCCCTCAGAGGGAAAAGTTGTCATTTCTATCCCTTTCGTTCTGGGTCAGTTTTGCTTTGGTGTCTTCCATTCATTTGTTACTGCGATTAATTTGTGAAATATCCTTTATTGGCTGCTTCGTTCTTGTCATCAATTCAATAAAACACTCTGCTTCTGCGATTGTTGGGAGCAACCTAACAGTGATATTAGTATGTCTGCTGGCAATTGTGTTTTGATTGGACAATTATGTTTTGAATCTTGACCACTCTCAATTGAATTAGGTTTTTTCTTGTTGAACCCCAACAAGAGTTGTCTTTGACTTTCTGGAGTTCAATTGTCGTGTCATGAAAAACAGGAGAATTGATAAGGTGATAGTTGATAGTGTAAGGAAACTTTGAGTTTTGATGTAAAAATGTAGAAGGAGTGAGGCTTTATGGAAGCTGAGGTGTCTAGGAACTACCAACTTCTGGATGTTAATCAATACATTGTGGTGTTATGGTCTTACTAATGGAATTGTTTATTATGGTTGAATTCTCTCTTAAACGGTTTAACTTGGTTAGATGTTATTCATCTTTTGCTGTATTCATCTTGTCAAGGGCTATTCAGATCCTGCTTCTTGTTATGCTATTAAATGGCCATCATTCCTTGCGGAAGCACATCCCTTGGTCAATGGGGTACGCGTCCTCAGCTTATGCCGAGGTCATTCATGACAAACAGAATTGTGATGTGCCACTATAGGTATGTGCTCAACACTTTCTTTCTTTTGCAGAAAAGATCATTTTTAGAAAAAAGCTCGTGGAAGATAGTCAGTGTACTCTTCTTTGTTTTAATTTACTGCAATTAAAATAATTATGTAGCCTAGACAACAGGATGAGCTATCTAGCAGCGCCAAGTTTGAGTTTCTTGTCATGTGATTCTTTGCATATGATATCTTTTATGGGACCATCCAAACCGTTGCATCGAAGTAGGGGGTCACGATTCATAGTTAGAGCAGATGATGTGAGTGTCTTCTGTAAATAGTCTGTCATCCTTGAAAATTAGTGGTCATCTGATTCTTTTAATTATTTGTTTAGTTAATTTTGTAGTTGATAACCTCTCTTCACTCTTTATGACAGATGCTTATAACGTCTTCACTTTTACAGGACTTATATTCTGTACTTGGAGTGTCAAAGAATGAAACTAAATCCGAGATTAAAAGTGGTATAATCCTCTAGTGTTTTCTCTCTAATGATAAATCTCATTATTGATTTTGAGTTTCTTTCTGGCAATCCTAAACAGTCAAATGTATAGTTAGTATTACTATAGGGTTGTTGTAGCCATACAGACTAGGCAGCCTAATGAGAAGATGTCAGATTATAGGAAATCCCTTTGAATGGAGTACATCTAATAGGGAGTAGAAAGGCATTAAATGCATAACTACTTGCATGAACTTCATGATTGGAGTTGGAACAGGTTGTCAGCAGAGAAGTTGTGATCCCTGTAGCATTTGGAGTTGCTAGAGCATGCACGACCACTATAGTCTGTATAAATGGAAGATTAACCTTTGAAGTGCCTCCATCTCGAAGAACAGTGAAGTAATTATTCAATGACTAGGTTGAAATTGGACTGAAAAGGAAAGCATAATCTATCGTTTTGCAATTTTTGTTGAAGTGCTATGAAGCGATGGTGGTCTAAATGTTTTTGAAATGAATTCCTCAAAAGGATTATGCAGTAGGTGGTGAGAAATTTTTGGTATCATTTTCTGGTGTTCCAAATGGTTGGTTGAAGTGCTATTCTTTCTTCACAATCCTATTTGTTCTAGCCTTATCATCCCTAGTGGTTCGTAAAGTGACTTTAAAAGATTTCCTCTTTGGTGTCAGCTTATCGGAATTTGGAAGCTTGCAAGGAGCTATCATCCAGATGTGAACAAGTAAGTTGGTGTTGTTAGTCGAGGAATGCACACCTTGAATTCTTTTTTCTTTTTGTCTTTTACACTGTCTGGTTACCTGCTTTGTAATCATTACTCTTAAGCTGCTAAACATTTGCGGTTCTTACTTTCTGGAAGTTCGCTGTTCTGTTTGTCAATGCACAATTAACAGAGGTGGAGGAGTTAATAAGATCAAGGATGTTTTTTGTGTTGGTATTTGTTAAGTGTGTTGGTGGCCTAGTCTTCACATTTATGTTTCTTTAGGATAAAAAATTAACAGCAGATAGAAGTATCATACTATCATGTCTACGTTATCTCCTTGATTTGATATAATCGATACATTTAATGACATTTTAACCTTTCATAAAACTTATACTAGCTTTACCAGAAAGCTGCAACACTAAAAGTGAAGCTTAAATTTGAAAAACAGTATCTGGCTACTGGACCAAGTTTAGTTACTTATTCCTAGGTCATCCGCACAGACTAAAGTATGTTATCAACTTAAGTTACCCTGGAAATTAAAAATTTTCTCGTTGATTCAAGACCAATGTCCAATAACCTATGTAACTTTACTACTTGCACTCATTATAGTACTATAAGTTAAACCTGAGATTGAAATTACAATCCAAGTCCTGCCTCGTCTCTCGTGAAAAACTTTGTTGAGGTATAGGGTATGATAATCCTTAACGCTTGGTGATAGAATTAGTTTTGACTGTAATTTTGACTAGGCAATAAGTTGTACTTGGAATTTTTCTATCAGTGAACAAACGACAGATTCTTCATCAATTTATTTATATAATAGAGATATTTTATATGGACTTTAGATAAGGTGTGACATGTTCTAAAATCAGCGTATACCACTACCTTGTTGTTGTTTAGAAAATAATCTTTTATGCAAATATGCTAAAATCACTCATTTTGTCTTTGTTTGTGTTTCATCCAAGGAAATGGGTGTGAGTAAGCCATGTAGAAGGAATTAGGAATCTGGTTATAGTCTCTGCAATAAACAACCTGTGCTGGAAGTGTGTATTTGTTGTTTCCAATTTGTGTCTGCCAAACATGTAAATTCAAATCGGTTTTAGATGAATCTATTATGTAGCTCCATTCTGCTTTCCCTAAAATTGATTGTTCAATCCTAGAAATTATGGGCATAACACCTCCTAGATTCCTATGGTAGTTTCCCTAAGCTATCAAGTAGGAATTGGAACTTGCTGATTCTTGCAAGATGTAGGGACAATGTAGGAATTGAAACAACTGTTCATTTTGTAGTAGAAACATAATAGAAACTTGGGCACTTTGAGTTGGCTTAGGGGCTAATTTTGGAAGGCTACGACCTTTGAGGACTGGGGTTTGTGAAGGACAGGCTTGAAGCGCACAAAGGGGCTCTAAGTTTGTCATTCAAAATCTCTCATTTCCAATAGTTTTGGTGGGGGATAGAAGATGAAGTAGAGTTACTAGGAAAGCTTGTATTTAAGAGTGTGGTCTAGTGGTTCCACCGTTAGTATTCAACCTGGAGGTCGTAGGTGCATGCCCCTTTTAGTAGCATGCAACAATAAAAATAAACCTATATCATCGTTAGAAAAGACCACTCGATCCTAATAAAGCCCCAAAAAAATAGCAGCTTGGTTGCTATACAACCAGGGAGGGACACGTCAGTTCGGAGGTAGATGTCGTTACCCTAATCTAACTAGTTTGGTTCTATCCATATCCATATCCGTACAAGATTCAGGTAGTAAAATCATACCAATATACATTCAGGTTTCGGTTATCCACAGACAATAGTATTTTCTTTATAATTTTGTCTAATGTGTTGTTATTTGATATCCCAGGAACATTAGCAACCCACATGCCACATGAGTGACAGCGGGGCCTAATAAACCTGGGGGGTACCTGCATACTAACCATCAATGACTTTGTTCCGGTGCAGTGCCCGGCGTTGTGCTATCGTTATCCGGGAGAATTCGTCTCCTGTACCAAGGGTGCCTCCGGGAACACCAAGAAGGTGGTACTGGGATTCGAACCTGGGACCTTGTCACATCCCAAACTCGAAACCCAGCCCTTTTACCAACTAGGCTGTCTTACCATCGGCCTAATGTGTTTTTATTTGAATTTGTTAGTGTATTCGCATTATGCAAATGAAAAGCTACAATTATAAGTCATCAAACTTAAGAGAAATAATGAGAAATAATAAAAAGAACAAGAATTCATTGGGATGTTATATATGTATTACAAAAGTTGGATATCTTTTGTGAGAGTATGAAGATTTCTAGGAAAATATACATTTGCATCTATAACCGAACATCTTCGGGTTGGATAGTAGGAAAACCATGCTGGCACATTACCCAAAAAATTTTAGTTTGAATTTTATCCATACTATTGGGTAATTAGTTTGGGTTCTATCTTATTTAATTGGATAAATATCTTCCTGCATAAACAATTTTTTAATGGACATAAACAAGATATATCAATTCATCTAATTTTCTGGATCCTTCTTTTTTCATCTCCAGCTGCCATCATTCTCCTCTAGTTTAAGAAAGACCAACCTCGAATTTGGTCATCAAACATATGAAAATCACTTAGCTCCTGGAGTCACTGTTGTCTGAATGATGGATTGTTGAACAAGATAGATTTCAAATTATTGTTCTATTCGAATGATTCCTAATGGTGACATTGAAGTTCCCCTAGTACAAGCTCAACATTGATTTGTCATTCTAATCTTGTAGAAGCACAAACGTGGTTTGTCACTCTAATCTCATCTTTGTTGTTGTCCAGAGATGTCGGGGCAGAGCAGAAGTTCAAGGACATAAGTAATTCATATGAGGCAAGAAACATATGTCTTTGTTCATCTTAGTTGCATATATGCAATCCTAAACGACGAATCTAAACATCAAGTTGTAATGCAGGGTTTGTCCGATGACGAGAAACGATCTTTATACGACCGATACGGTGAGGCTGCAATTAAAGGCGCTGGCATGGGAGCATCGGTATGTCTATATTTCTTGTGCTCTCATGTTAATTTCTTTCGCAGCAATTCCTTTTGAGAATCAGAAATAAGTATGTTATTTTCTAAATAGGATTTCAGAAACTCATTTGATATATTCGAGTCTTTATTCGACATGGGCAACATGAACATGGGCGGCAGGGGAGGCATGGGAGGCTCAAGAAACAGGGCAGTCGATGGCCAGGACGAATACTACAACCTCGTATTGACATTCAACAAAGCGGTCTTTGGCGTTGTAAAGGAGATCGAAGTAACCCGACTAGAAAGTTGCGACACCTGCAACGGATCAGGCGCCAAGCCCAGAACAAAGGCAACAAAGTGCAACACTTGTGGCGGACAAGGGCAGGTCGTATCTTCAGCTCGAACTCCCCTGGGCGTCTTCCAGCAAGTGATGACCTGCAATACGTGTGGCGGGGCAGGAGAAACATTCGTCCCATGCAACATTTGTTCCGGTGATGGACGAGTCCGAAAGACGAAGAGAATCAGCTTAAAAGTCCCTTCCGGAGTGGACTCTGGCAGTCGGTTGAGGTTTCGGTCTGAAGGTGTTTACCCATAAAATAAATCAGTTTTTACCACATCGATTAACTACAAGAGACTTAATAGATTTATAAGGCCGGCTCAACACTAATAATTAAAAGAGCTAGCTGGGCCTTGTTGGGTTAGGTTTTTGGGCCTAAGTGGCAAAATCCCTTCTTCTCCATACATGATGGCCGACCCGTCTCCTTGACCCCCATAGTCAGACGATGCCTCCACCAATTGGTATGAAATTTGGCTCCCAAAAACTAAGTCTGGAAACCAGGCAACACGACGAGGTGCCAAACAACCGGGTACCAAGTCGGGTACCAAATGAGGGGGCCATACGATAGGGAGTCATACCAGCCATACAGATAGGGTGGCAAGCCGGCAAGGCGGGCCTGGTACCAAAACATCTGAAAATTGGCTAAGTATGGAGCCAACAGGGTACCAAGCTGACAAGGCAGGGCTTGGTACCATGACATAAATTTGGCTTAGTATGGAGCCAAAGGGGTATCAAGCAAACAAGGCGGGCTTGATACTAAAAGATATGAAAATTGGCTAAGTATGAAATCCCATGACCAGGGGGCCATACGACACGATGCCATACCACCCATAGCAAGAGGGTAATACCAAGACATGAAAAATGGCAAGGCAGGCCTAGTAGCCAAATATACGAAAAAACATGAAAAACAAGCCGGCAAGGCAGGCATAGTAGCCAAGTATAGAGCCAAGAGAGTATCAAGCCGGCAAGGCAGGGCTTGGTACCAAGACATGAAAAAACATGAATTTGGCCAAGTATGAAGCCAAAGGGGTATCAAACAGAAAAGGCAAACTTGATACCAAAAGACCTGGAAATTGGCTAAGTATGAAATCCCATGGTCAGGGGGCAGGGCTTGGTACCAAGACATGAAAAACATAAATTTGGCTAAGTATGAAGCTAAGGGGTACCAAGCCGGCAAGACAGGCTTTGTAGCCAAGCAAAGCGATTGGGTACCATGACCCCAAGGGGGTATCAAGCCGGCAAGACTGACTTGGTGGCCACGCAATAGGGGGCCAAGTCAAGTACCAACTAAGAGAGTAATAAAGAAACTAAGTCTGGATATCAAGCCGACAAGACGGACTTGATAGCCAGACATCAGGGTATCAAGCCAACAAGACAAGAAATTTGAATAAGGCAAGGTGGCTAGATGAGGTGGCCACCCAAATAGGTATCAAACAGCCATGGATGGATCGGCCAGGATGCCGAGCTGTGGGTGTCAATATGATGAGGAGTCGTAGAGCCCCTTATGGGGCCATATGGAAACGAAATCCTAAGACGGGCTTGGTAGCATCCTAACGGAGTACTAAACCGGCAGAGTGCAACTTACCAACTTGACGAGGCTACAAAAACTAAGTATGGAGACCAAGTCGCCATGGTTGGCTTGGTAGCAGGGAGAGTCAAGTTGATTACATGTGCTTGGTGGCATGTCGGAATGTATCAACCCTATGAGACGGTTAAGTAACAACCAACGAGTCAACGTGGAGAACTTGGTATCAAGAGGTGATAGCAGTCTCAAGACGACAAGAGTGGGGAGTCATCAAGGAGCCGAGGGTGCGATCAAGACTTCATCCTGGAGGCTAAGGCAAAGAACCTCAATCCGATCCAGTCATGACAGGGCGACAAGACTCAACACCAACCCAACCAGACATCGAGACCATCAAGTACCAACCAGCCCCAAGACAAGACGAGGGCCCCCAAGGCGACGGTTACCAACTAGTCACCAAGGCAGCGACAAGCAGCCCCTAAGGCAGTTGGAGCAACAGGCTAGCTAGCGATTACCAAGGCAGTTACACCCAAATGACTATAAATAGGAGAAATGAAGACGGGAAAAGGGTTCCACAACCAAACATTTGACGCACAATGTCAAACTTTATCCTTTTCTCTGCAAATTAGCTTTACCCTTTAGTTTTTTTTTTTATTAAAAGGAGGCAAAAAGCCAAAGGGTCGATTACATCAACAGGGGAAGACTCAAAACCAAAGCTTCCACAAAAATCTTACACCCAAAGCAGCGAAACAAACCATAGGAACAAACTTAAACCCAACTGTCTTGAGTGTCGTCCCTAACAACTTGCCGTGGGAAGCTAATTCCCCTCATATCATCACTAAGGATTCTTTCCAATTCAGTCGGAAGTTCATCTATTTCATAAGTACCAAAGGGATAGACGAGACTGTGCTTCGAGAGCCAGTCCGCGACTCTATTCCCTTCGCGATACGTATGAACTAGACAAACAACCCAACTTTGCGCCAACATACGTCTAATAGAATTGAGGAGAGTGGCGTGAGGGTGCAGCATGTCAGTTCTTTTGTTCAGGAGTTCAATTGCTAGCTGAGAATTTGTTTCGAGTATAAGAAATTGCGTACCCTTTTTCCAAGCTAGCTCTAGACCTTGGTGGATACCCCAAAGCTCTGCTAGAATTTCCGACCTAGTTCCTATTTTGCAGACGAATCCCGCGATCCATTCTCCCTCGTTGTCTCGAAGGACTCCTCCTGCTGTGATAATTCCTGGGTTCCCTTGAGCTGCCCCATCCGTGTTTAACTTCCTCCACCCTACTTGAGGAGGAGTCCAACCAATTAGTTGTTCTTCTCTCCTCGGTTTGGTTAAAGAGTCTTTGCAGGCTGTAGCTTTTTTCCACGTTCTCATCCAATCTTTTGCCTTCGAGACAATGTAATTGATGAGGGTGGAGCTGGATATTCTGGTTGACTTGAAGATGTATTCGTTCCTATGCTTCCAGATATACCAGCAAATGAGAGCAAAGAAACTAGCCCAATCCCCTGTCTCTTCTACAGTCTCGTTGTTCTCCAAATTCTTCTTCATCCACTCATCATGAGCTGCAGAGAAAAATTGATGATGTTGAGAAGCAGGGACAACTGTTTCCCACACTCCCCTGATCTTGGTACAGTCTCACTAAACCTCCATAGGAGTAGGAGTAATTAACGTAGCTTGTTCTCAAAAAACCATAAAAAACATCAAACACCTTCGTTCGAACATTGTTCGAAGAGGTGTGAACCGTGTTATTAATCGTTGTTCAAGGAATCAAGGTGCATTGATTGAAATCAAACACCAGATCTTCCTCGCCGGAAAACAGAAGGCAACGTCGGGAGGAGAGGTGGCTCCCCTGGTGACCTCTTTGTGATGATTGAGGTCATCCCGGACCCTGTCCTGAAGCGAGACGACACGAACATTTTGTACACGTGTAAGATCTTGTATGTGGACGCGATACTGGGAACCACGATTAAGGTCCCCACGGTGGATGGGATGATGGATCTGAAGATCCCTGGCGGGACACAACCGAACACTACGTTGGTGATGGCGAAGAAAGGTGTCCCGGTGTTGAACAAGAGTAATATGTGAGGGGATCAGTTGGTCCGGGTGCAGGTCGAGATTCCGAAGAGGTTGAGCAGCGAGGAAAGGAAGCTTATTGAAGAGAGCTGGCGGATCTATGTAAAGGTAAAACAGCCACCACCCGAAGATAGCCTGGTTGTGACTATTTACGTCGGAATGTTGTTTCTGATCGCCTCGTTTCGGGGACCTGTTTCTGGTTCTTTCATCCTCTGAGTTATGAACTTTGCGGGAGGGTAGAAGGGTCTGTGGCAGAGTCTTTGTTCCCAAAGTGGTGTTTGCAGAAAATGGAAATGGAAGGGGCGGGATGGGATGGGGTCGTGTGTAGCTGGGTTTTTCTTTGGGATGCTCGAAGCTTATACTTCTATTCATCATTCTTTAAAATATAAAGAGTGGGTACGCTTTATTGCCCAAAATCGCTATTTACTGTTTCACTTTTTGTCGTTTTTTGTGTGCACGCTCAGCAACCTCCTTCGACTTTCAACTTGCAGCGGCCGCTTCTGGATTTGAAATAGCTGCTAGCCTCAACAGATGGAACCTTACCCCTTCCCAGTCCCACTCTTTTCGGTACATCAAACCCATGCCTTTACTTTTGGAGCCGAAAATCCGGAAGGGCACGTCATCCCGTCAGTTCGTCACTCCGCTTTGCTTTCCCGTACATCCAAACCATGTCTTCCTTCTGCTTCTACAGTGTTGTCCTCTCCCCAACAGTTGGCTACGATTGTACTTGGTGGGAGACAAATGGTTCCTCCCCCTTTACCCACTCCATAATCCCTTTCTTCTCTCAGTCTCTTGCAAGCGTTGGAAAACCCTAAAAGTTTCCTCGCTGCTGGTCACCATGGAACCCGCTGCAGAGCACGGCGGTAGCAATGAAGATTCGGATGACACGGTTTCGTCGAGTTCGTACTCAAGCTCTATCCATGGGGAGGAACAACAGAAACTGACGGTGGTGGTGGTAGTGGTGATGTACCAGCAGGAGAAAGGGTCAGAGTTGGTGGAACCGCCGATGTTCAGGATGGGAGACGGGAGAAGCTCGGCTGCTGCCGAGGAGGGGACCTGGAATGGGCACGATTCCCTGGTTGGGGAAAAGTAGGGCGATGGCGGTGAGCTCAATTTTACTTTTGTATTAACCAATTGATCTTCCTCCTACTGCAACACCCAAAAAAATTAACTTGCTTCTCAGTTTACTTGATTTTACTGTTGCAGGCACAAGCTAACCAAGCAGCTTGGAGCAACAGCAGCAAACGTAATTGACAATTACTGCAGAATCACAAAAACTGGTTTGGGAGGCCGGTGCCATCTACATCAGGTTCCCGTTCGCCATCAATGGTAGGCCATCTTCAGGTTAGGACTTTAGAATAGACAATTTTGAGTGAAAGCACTCACAAGTTTTGGTCTTTAAGAGAGGGTAGAGCTATGAACCTGATACTGTAGGATTACCAGATGGGGAATGCTAACAAGAGATGATGTGAGAGGGGCAAGAAGGTGGCAAAATTGCCACTTAAGACTGAAACCAACCAAATCTAAGCTACTACTGATAATCAATTTAATATTTATGTTTGTTCTTTAATCTGTTTTTGTGAAGTGCACACGCAAAGGGGCTTTAGTGTTCCTACTGCTTCTTTCTTTCACTTGCTGTTCTTATTTCAAAGATTGTATCTGATTGCTATTTGGCTGTGTGGAGTTTGTTGTTGAGGAATTTCCCCATCTCACAGTGGCACTGGCAGGTCTGAACGAAAAGTTCATTGGATTCACATAATATAAGTAAGATTTTTCATTGTTTGTTCATCTTGATTTGATGCTATCAGCTCTACTATTGCATCATTACGATTCTTTTGATTCTCTGGTCAGTGGGTGGATAATAGATTAGAAAATGACCCGATTGTGATTAATAATGGGGTTCTCTGTTTTTATGAATAATAATGGAGGTTAATGTATATAAAATTTCTACCCTCTCTCTATTCACCATAAAAACGAGAACAAGGTTTCACAAAACTTGGACAATATGGACTTCAGAATATTTGTGGTGTTTTGTTGCACATGAACATGGTTAAGGCTTGAACAAATTCTCTTTATATATTAGTTGTTTCTCGGTTTTGACAGAATTTCTGGTTTGACATGTGAGCTTTGGTTGGATTATAGGTTAGTTTTAATTTGCTTCTCTTGGATTTATCAAAGTTAAGGACACAGTTGGTGCCAGCAAGCTTTGATAGTAATGCTTATGTTTCTATGATGCATGGTTCGTGGCTGATTGCTTATGGCATTACAGGTGGTCTCCGTTGAAGTTGCTTCTTCAGTTTTATTTTTCCTTCTTTGTTGGATCCAGATTCCCTTATATTGATTAGTTTGACAGAACGTGTCAGCCCAAATCAGAGGACGAGAAAGCAGAGGTAAAAACACAGGACCGGTTGGATATAATAGAGTTCACATTGAACTGAAGTCGACAATCATTCATGGTACTGATCAATGTTGTTTTATCTCTTCCCCTTTATCTTTAGTTCCTTTAGCTTACTACCTGATGTGTTAGGCCTCTTTACGAAGTTGAAATGCTTGATTGCTGTCATAGAGCCTACATTACCAATTGATAGAGTCTGCCAGTTTATAGTTTGTAACCTTTAATTCGGCCAAGGATCATACCTGCTTCAGTGGAACAAGATATGATTTTCTCAACTCTTTGGAGTCTCCTTTGTGAAAACATTCACCGAATTTAGAGAAACCAGCAAATGATCATAGCACATGCATATTCTCTAAACATATCCTTCCCCTTATTTGTTTTTCTCTTCTTAATCCATCGGGCCCTTTGTTTTTGTGAGTTTATCTGATGTCAATTTCATAGGTATTAGAATTATGACAACCAGAAACTGATGTATTCAGGGATGTTTGCAGATCATCCAACAAGTTGAAAGAAAGGTAATAGCTGCACTTTCTCCTTCTTTAAAAGTGAAAACTACTACAAGTCTTCTTTTTTTCTGGATTTGTAGGATTAAGTATTCTTACTCTTTTCCATATCTCTTGGATTTAAGCTGAACTCGCTGGTGGTTCAGGGGAGTTTTGTGATGCTTACTTGACTTCTTCCTTTCTTGATGCAAACTGGAAACACAAGGGAGGTTAACTCTTATCATAGAGTCAGCTTTCAACATTTTAGAGAAAATGTGTGGATACTATTGTGAGACTTTCAAGCGAAAAGATTCAGCGTGGTACCTTTAGTACCTTATTGTTGTAGGGACTCTAGCTACCGGAAGAGAGAAAATAAGGAATAGAGGATACCCAAAAAAAACGGAGAAACTACAGGGTGATCAATGAGGTCAAATTCAAGGAGGAAATTGGTTTGGGGGAGGAGACAGGTTGTAGAACTTTTCAGAACATCTAAAACATTTCTGGTAGTTTTCTCGCTTTGTGTTGGCAGAACGTTCTGAACATGAAATACTAATGCATAAATTTGTATCATCTTCCATGTGTCAATTTCTGCATGAAAGCTTAAGGAAGTGAAAACCAAAAAGAGTGGTGGAGAACGGAAAAGCAAGGTGAAATTGACTACTCCAGTGAGAAACCAAACCGTCCACTGGAGACAAATACAAAAGGTGCATTTACACTATGATTTGTTTTCTCATTATGTCTGTTTTTACCTTCCCGAAACTGTTAATTTTTCGTTGTCATAATAAGAATGTTACCTTCTTGATTGATGCAGTTTATTATAATTGGGTACACTTTTGGGCCTTCATAGGATATTAGTTTTCTATCCACGTAGTGAATTGAATGCTTGCATTGTTAATTGATGCAGGAATGTCAGAATGGAGGGACATTGTCTCTACAAGCTTAGGGAATCCAAACTTCTTCACCACCATACCTGAAGGTCACATGAATCATTGTTACATTGTAGATTCATCCATTTTTATCAAACGAAATTGTCTTCTTTTCCAAAGGAAGTTTCTATCAAATGCCTATACTTGGAGATATCTCTCATTTGTAGTAACTGGGGGAAACTACTTTTTTACTAATTGTTTAATATTGTGTGATTATGAAGAGATTTCGGACCTTAAAACATAATTTGATGTTTGAGAGCACCATGCTGATTGACTATGGAACTTGAGATGCGAAGGTTTGCCAACTATACTTCCAATATTGTGAAATTCAGCCCAGTGACGAGAATACAACGAACTCAGTTGATGGATTCAGTTTGTCAAACTGCCCGCTATATGATCATGTTAATGCAAATTCAGTTCCTGCGGCGTAGCCGCGGGTATTGATTCTAGTCATAGTTAACAGCAAGCCTTTTCTGTTATATCCGCCATACTCATATCAAACTACAATGATATCAGAATGCAAAGACCAAGTGAGATATAACTGAAAACATAATTAACACAAGGATTATGCTCTCTTCACACTCGTGCCCTTCTGTATCATTGTATCAATGATTATGATCTTCAACAAATCTCATGAAATTATTGAAGGAAGACCCTTCAACTCCAACAGCTTCCCTCGCTTTCTTTCGCCACTCCAGGGCCTTGCGCTTCATCGCCTTCCCTTCCTCTCCACTCATCATCTCCTCAATCGCATCCACAACCTCATTCCTCTTCACATCGTGGCTCAGCTCCACCCCAATCCCCCACTCGCTGCAAGCATATCTGCAGTTCGTCTGCTGTTCCGCGAAAAAGGGCCAACATATCATAGGGACGCCAGCCGAGACACTCTCCATCACCGAATTCCAACCACAATGCGTCAGGAAAGCGCCCACAGCAGGATGCGAGAGCACTTCCTGCTGCGTGCACCAACTAGCTAAGCACCCACGACCCTCGATTTCCTTCAGAAACTCCGGTGGTAACATTGCTGAATCCCCCATTGCAATGTCTCCTCTCACAATCCAAAGAAACGGGCGCTTGCTCTCTGCGAGCCCCCACGCGAACTCCTTCATGTGCTCTTCGGACATGACAGTCACGCTTCCGTAGTTGGCATACACGACCGACTGCGGCCCTCTTCCATCGAGCCATTTCGTACACTCACGGTCTTCTTTCCAGAAGTTGGAACTAATGGAGCTAGTTTCAGTGCTTTTGGGCTCCGACATCGCGTTACCAAGCAAGTGGAGTGGACCGATTGTGTAGATCTCACGAGGAAATTTGGTCCTAATAGCGGCTAGCACTTGTTCCTCAAATGCGTCGAAAGTGTTGAAGATAATCGCGTTCGATTTCATCGAGTTCTCTGCTTCAGTTTTCAGGTGATTGAACATTATATCTGCCGCATCAGTCGTTGTTGCGAAGCTTGGTAGATCCCTCAGACGGATATTGTTCATTCCTTGAATCCATTCCAAAGGCATCTCAAGTGTTCCATCCGTGAAATTGGCCTCTGAGAACAACATATGTAGATAGAGCGAATCTTTAGAAAAACAAGCAAATTCATTGACGGAGGAGAGGGGGAAAAGCAGAGAGTAGAGTACCTTTGAGAGGAGATATGCCTCTTCCAATGAGCTCACCAAACTGCAAATAGCCCATGAGCCCACAAACCGACGCAGTCCAGAAGGTAGCGTGGGGGATCCCCAACAATTCGGCAGCTTTGATCCCTAATGTCATGATTCCATCTGAAACCATACATGTAACTGGAGGAACTCCCGCAGAGCTAGTTGAATTAAGCTTTCCCATCAGCTCCATGAATGGTTGCAGGCAGTAGTTCTGCGTGGCGTGAGAAATGGCAGGAGGGTCTTGAGTGGCATCCTTGTCCGACGGCGGCAGCCCATCGGGGATCGCTCGAAACTGGAAATCGGGGAGACCCTTGACGGATTCAGGGCCTCTGGTTCGGACCAGGCGCCTGTGGTTGTGCTCGGTGTTGACGAAGGTGATGTGGAAGCCTTTGGAATGTAAGAGCTTGGCCAGTTGCATGAGTGGGTTGACATGGCCTTGAGCTGGGAATGGCAGTATCACAGCATGTGGCTTCTGCTGCTGATGATTTCTTGTGGGTGTAGACCTCATGATCTTCTCACTGCTTACTGGTTGTAAATTGAATTTGGACTTCTCCCCTGCAAAATGATGAAGAGTCTCCAGCAATCGTGAAGTTAAGATGATTTGATTACTATAGGGAAGGTTGACTTTTGTGAGTTTTCACTTTTCAGCAGTATTGGTCAACAAAGTGGGCAGCAGTAACCAGTAAGTGATAAGAGAGGGGAAAGTGTGGCCGATTCATATAGGTCAGTCTTACTTTGAGAATTTTATAGAGTTCACGACATGACGTCCGCGTACACAATTGTTGAATGAAGAAAATCAGAATCGATGTGAGCAAACCAGGCAATACATGGATTTACTTCTAGTTTCTATAAGACCATCTCCATGGTAGTGTTAGTGAGAAAGACTTAGAGATCATTTGTTTCACGGAATTAGAGGCATGAATATTTTGGGTCAAAACATGGGTTTTGGAAATTTTTGATTTGGGATGAATTTTGGGCAATATTTGGGGTTTGGAAATTCTTGGATTTGTGATGAATTTGGAAAATTATGAATTTGAAAAGTTTTATGTTTGTTTGATGCATTTTTTTCATGGATTTGAGTTTTGTAGCTAGTGCTTGAAAAATAGATCAGACCGTTTGAAAAATTATGGTCCAAACTGGATTATACAGTTTAGTTTGAATTATAGACCGTTAAGTATGTTTTAATTTGGTCCATGGTCTGCATCATATGATGCTTTAATCTCTTGATCTGGTCTAGACCGCGGTTTTCCAGACCAAATAGTGAATCCAACCAATTTGTCAATGTGTGTTAGTAGCCCACTCGATCACTTTCCCAGCTCCCACAATGATACCCAAGTCTCAATCTTAATTTCGAGAATCTCGTCTCCTCCTTCATTCACAACCACATTTCACTAGAGAATAAAGACGATTGTTTCTCCATATGACATTATGTTAATGTTTATGACGTTATGGTGCAAGTCGAGATGCTTTAACTTTTTATCTTTGATATTTATTGAGATTTATGATGTCAAAATTATTCATGCATGCTGGAATTTATGTTTTAAGGCAAAAAAAAAATTTGTGGCTATTGGTTCATTTTTTTCCCCGATGAATATTTGGTTTTATATTTTGTGTGGTTAACTAATCAAATTATTCATATTTCATTCATTGTGTTCTATCTAGACCACACTGTACCGGACTAGACCGCACATGCCTAGTCTGGTCTAGACCATATGCTTTGTTATCTGGTTTGTGGTCTATACTCGAACCTCTTAGTCTGGGTATATTTGGTCCGTCTGAACCAGACCGCACCGTTTTCCAATCCAATTTGTAACTTAGCATGTAAATTACCTTACTATCCTTATTTATTTATTTTATATTCTTGAGACAAGAGGATATATAACTAATTATTATCAAGGGGCTCACGAATTTGTGACCATATTCAAAATCTCGCATCCATATTTCGTTTTTGCAAGTCCATGGGGCCCATTGATCTGGACCCTTAAAGTCCATGGGTCTCATAGATTTGGCTTAAAGTCCATGGCATCTACCCAATGTGCACATCATACTTGGTAGATGGCCGGGGCTACGAAACACTATCTTTGTCAATACGCCGCGATAGGGACTTCACAGTATTAGGTGTGAGGGAATGTCACGAAGAAAATGATGGAAAAATAGACTTTTGCATACTTTGGATTGTTTTATCGGTTTATTATTTGTTATGGGTTTTTAAACATTATTAGGGGGATTATTTGCTTGTTTTGATTTTTTGGGTAGCATTCGGTAATTACCGGATTATATAAATAGTTAGCTAGTGGGTTCTATGCCACTAAGCAGAATTATAAACCTAACTACGTCTTGATCTCTATCTCTTCCCTCTCCCTAGCCGAACTCCCCTCTTTTCCTTTACCTAGTTGCTGCTGCAACAGCCCTACTCCTCTTTCCCTTCTTCTCTAAATCTCATCACTCATCCCCAATTCTAAGTTCTATTAAAGAGGATCAATCCTCTAATTCCTAATCTCTGGATAGAGCCAACTCCTAGGTTCTATCATATTGTTATCAGAGCCTCAACGAGTCTATAACGACTCTAACCAGGGGAACTCGAGCGAATCATGGTGCTGACGAAATCCATGACTGCTGCGGAGAAGGATACCCAGGAAAAGACGGTCCGGGACAAGAGCTCGGGATCGCAGGTCCACGGTACCCTCGAAGATCTCACTGACACGGAGGTGCAGCGCGCCAAGATGGACAAGGTGGAGGTGACGGTCGACAAGCGGGATGTGACGGTCGCGAGCATGGGTGCCGGCCAGGAAGCCCTAAGCGAGGAGGTTCGTCTCATACGTGAGATGTTGGAGCAACTGTTCCACGACAAGGATGGGGCCGCAACCACGGCGCCGGTAGGAGCCACCGGGGGTTCGAAGGTGGCGGCCATGCCCGGGCAGCCAACAAGGCTAGGCGCCGACGATCAAATCGGTGCCGCCATCGCCGAGACGGTCGCAGACGGCGGAGCGGGACGCGGGCAGCCAACCCCAGGGCCGGAGTTGATGCTGATGACGACCAACGTAGGGCGGAGTGACCATGTGGGACACGTTTCTTTCGGCCCACACACAGGCCCGGGTCTGTTGCCGACTCCGACGGGCTAAGAGTTGGAGACCCTACCAGGAAAGGCCAAGCAGTTGGGCTACGATAATGTGATTCATGGTCACAATTCAGGTCCACTGGGACCAACGTGGGAGGAGCTAGAGGCGGATCGGACCCGGGGCGAACCGCAATGGGGCTGGATGAGCCGCCTTGAGGAATCGAGACTGGTAGGCAGCGATGATCTGGACCAAATCGGTCGAGCCGTCCCTGTTTGAACCGGTTTGGTCCATAACCAACCTGACCAGCTACTGGTCTCCGTGGATAGTAGGGGCTCGACGAACGGGGGCGGATACCAGGGGGTGACTAGTGCTTCTCAGCCTACCTTCGGTGCTTCTCGTGAGGTGGGACGCCCACCTAGCATAACATGGGAAATGGGGCGCGGTCCGTGGGATGGTCCAGAGTACTTTACAAACGGCCATGATGTCGAGGAGGAGGCATCGAGGTATGGGCGAGAATCGTCAGGTTTTCGTAGCCAGTACAGGGGACCTTCGAGCATGGGCAGGTATGGTGGGCACTATCGGGGTTATGAGGGTGAAGTTGTGCTTGTGTTCGGAGCTAAACCATCTACCATTGAGTTTCC